CAGCGTCTTAGATAAGGTGCATACGCATGTGTGGCCACTCGTAAATAGTTTTAGCGCTAATATAAGCGCTGCTTATCATACATAAATTTTGTTTTCAGTGATTTCTGAAATACGTTGGGATCTCTACGGCTAATGCAGTCGTATTTCATTAATACAGGGTGGTTCGAAGACAACTCATAGGTCAACGAATACGTTAAAGAATATGCCAAAAATATTTATAAATCCACTTTCCTAATACACTCCATGGCTAACTGCAGGTTGCTGCTATCAACAACTGGAAGGCCTTCCAATCAGTTACCCATCTGTCAAAACCATGAAGGTTCTTTCTTCTTGTTGAAATTTTATGAAATTCCGATTTATGGATAAGTAGGAGATTCCTGGAAATATGTGCCATGGTTCTTCGTGATGTGCATGCCATGTAACGTTCAAAGGACATGGCAACCTCGGTTTTTGAATTTTTCGAGGTTGCAAAAGTACTTCTATAACTGACGTGGAAAGTAAAATGAAGCTCTCAAAAGTTCTTCTCTTCGTAGTACAAATATAACAAACACATTATATATTATTAGAAAAGATCAGTTTGCTGAGATTAAATTTTGACAAACAATACTGTAGCGCCAATTTTATGAGTAATATTTGGCAACAACGGATATAATCCGCCTTATCGGTTCATCGCATCGGAAACAAAAAAGCGAAAGAATTTGAAACGCGTATCACGATGTTTTTACTACAATTTTATTCAGTTGTATTCAGTCAATGTGTCAGTCGGTAACGCGTGAGTGAATAGTGGTGTTTGTTGCGTGGCTCAAACGAAATAAAAAATGGCACATGTTTACGAAAATGCTGAACTTGTGGACATGATTCTCATTTACGGGGGGGGAGTCTTGGAGTCTTTACAAAATGCAGCCGCGGCATCATGGATTTATGCGGATCGGTTTCCCAATCGAGTGCAACAACCCCTCGTGCCTTTGTTAATGTAGTACAAAGGGCTCGTGAATCAGGTGACTTAAGACCTCACAGGGGAGGGCATGCCGGTGCTCCAAGACCTCACGATCAAATACAGTTCCGCACTGAAATACTTGTCGGGAGGATACTCTATAAAACAAGGTAAACTTTTTTTATTTTTTTTTATTTTTAATAAATCTGATTGTCTGTCCAGTGTGTCAGCATCACGTTTTAATCACAATACGAAGAGACGTAAATATGTGTACACATACTAATCTATACCGTAGAGGGTTTTAGGCATGATTTTATCCACCCGCTAATCGTTGATTTTGCAACGACATTTGACAACATTCAACTGTTGCGCCAAGTACAAAAATCTCTCCACGTCGGCGTCAAGCCAGCGACAGCGCGACCTGCCATCGCCCCACTCAACCTGCAACCGTCAATTGATACAGAACTACAGAACTAGCTGTTTTACCCGCGACTTCGTATGCTTGAAACTGTTACTATCACATAACATACATATATAATTTATAAACTTTCGGCCACGCTTTGTCTATTTCTTGGTATTAGTAAATTGCGGCTATCAATTGCACGCTTGGAAAATTTGGTTACTCTCGTAGGGGCGCCACCTACACGTTCCGCGGTTAAAACTGTGGGGCATAAGGCTAGTACAATAAATTAGTATCCAGTAAGGGCACCTGACATTGTTGCTATGTAATTCAGTACCCATAGTTGAAATAAAAGATTACAAAATTGCTATGCTATAAAATATAATATAAATGTTTAGCTTTCATTTTATGCTGTATTTAAACACTATAACGACATATTTATTATATTGAGAGAATGTATTTTACAGCTCGATACATCTGGTTGTATAAAAAGTTTCATAGACTTGCTTACAAGCATAGGATATCATATGTAAGCGGCTATAATAGTAATCGATCCTGGAGCAAAAGATTAGCAGCAATATCATACAGGGTGAGTGTGAAATATGCAACGATACTGTAAACAACATACAGCTACCTAAAGAGGGTAGGACAGAGAAAGCACACAAGCTGCGTATATTGCAACGGAGGAGAGGATATTCCTAATCATCTATTCGAATGTAGTATACAGGTTGACTATGAAAGATAGCTGGAATTCAGGCTTGGTGAGAGGCTCACTGCTGACAATTTTGCCACGCATCTAAAGCAAAGGCTGGTAATGAGGCGGAAGGTGCAGGGGGGCAAAAACAGGAGAACCAACAGTAGATTCCAACTTGTTCGGTTGTACATGTGCACTACATATTGCATGTAGTTTCAAATGTATGTATTATATATACGATAGAGAGTAGATGACGAAACCTTTGGCAGGAGAACCTGTGCAACGCGGCCCACTGTGAAGAAATGCTGCAAGCATTGCCGTGGTGGGATGTGAGGCGAACGAATTAGGGGTTTCAGTTAGTATGGCGCTTTTGAAGAATCTCACATTTCTGGCAGGAAGGGCAATACTGTAGAGCTTCTCTGCCTGAGAGTCGCTATAAGAGATTTTCCATGTCCTAGAAAAAGCTGTAAACCACTTACTTTTAGTGCTTATCTGCAAGTGGGAGACAAAGAGCACTATCGAATATTTGTTCATTGTCAGGCGGCGGTGCAAATACTGGTGACACAATAGTACGGTAAGTTTATTTTTTATTGTGGTCGGTTGTAGATAAAGTATTTTGTAGGTGGCTCGGGCGTAATGAGCTTTAATGTCCCTTTCCCTACTAGAGTGGACAAAGATCATTTCCAAGAATAAAAATATTGTCTAAGAAATCATCAGTGGTCATTTATATCTTAAGAGACGGAATAATAATTTGTCTTATTTAACGAGTTTGATGATCGTTGCTAATTCTTTGCTTTTTTTGGTAGAGGAATCGAATACGACTTGTGTACATTCTATATCTATTGAATAACTAGAATTTCACTTAGTTACCTCGTATAGCGGGCTAAATATCCCCATTCTCCTAAAGAACATCAAGGTCCACCTCTATAGCTGTATCATTTCACACAGTGTATCAGAGTGTAAAAGCAAAAAACGTGAAACAAGTCTTTTCCCCACTTTGAGGGATATGCAAAAGACCGTGAATTTGCATAAAACTATTATTATAATACTAAACTATGGCGAGCGAGGGAACGAACGGCGACTGCAACGAATGTTCTGAGCATAGGCTGCCCGCAGCTAAAAATATTTCAGCATGATCGCATGTCGAAAAGCATCAAGATCGTAGCGAGGATCCGATGCGATGCTTTGGACCCAGATAAATGCCAGTTCGAGTAACTGGACACTTCTTCTTCGATGTGTTTTTGCCTTATGGTGTCCATGCTATGTTTATAAATATTCCTTATACATTGTTCACTTAGAAGCAAGTTAGTCTGACTTTGTGTCAATTTATCTCCATCTTACTTCCCACGCCGGAGGCGAGGAAGTATTGAAATCGCCAAAAATTTGAAAAATATGGTATGTTTTTTGTATGTACATCATGAAAAACCATGTCATTCATTTATGATGGTCTGTCTATACGACCGCCAATCGTTGACCCAGCTATAACTTGGAAAGTACTGCTCGGATTCGGATGAAACTCTAACACAACGTTATTACTATGCAAAGGTCAAAAAACGTTTGTAGTTTTTGAAAATGGGTCTAGTGGCGGCGGAGGAAAGTGCCAAAAACAGTCAAAATAAGATTCGCTGAAAATTCATTTCTTACGGCTTCAGATCATCCTGATCATATTTGAAAATTTTTTTAGGGGTAACAAATTGGGAATGGGAGCTGTATGGGGATGGCGGAGGGTTTATTGCAATTTTTTGATGTTAGAATGTTAATACACTAATTCTACGCACCTATTAGTCATACTTCACATATAGTAGATTTTCCTGTTCATTAACCCATCTACCTGCCTCGTGGGCTGGCCGATATTTTCGGCAGCCGAATGACGTGCCTATCGGTCGCACTTACCGTGCCCCACATCGTTAGTAGTGAATCTGTTGGACATATAAAAGCAAACGGCGCGGTGGCGCGATTATCTATATACATATACGAGCATTACGCTTGGAGTGAAAGTTTAATGGGCTTACTTCATTTCGTGAGGTAATATTATATAGTAATATATAAGTACGTATCAAGAGCTATTATAATAAGTTATTACTGTACGACAAACAGTTTTTCACTAGAGGCTCAAATAAATAAGGCGGATACGCTCTTTACAGTAGCCCGAGGAACCTTTTCATGAAAACACCAAATAATGCACTAATGGTTTTGATAAAACAAACCTCTTTTTGATGACATTGCACTACATAGAAAATTGTACTAGAAGTTGTTTCAAAGGCATGGGAAGTAGATAGTCATTTTACTTGACGCCATTTTTTTGATAATAATTGTAGTTCAGGAATTGAGAACTCACCCTCTGGATCACTCACAGAGGGGCTGTTAGTAGTAAAATAGTGTAAAATGACATATAGAGAAGAACTAATCTCTAAAGCGAATCTTTGGTCTCTGCATTTTCCGAAATTCCTCTATTGTCAAGTGTAAATAGCAGCTTAACTATCTAGCTTGTCGTAGTGGACCTCACGCGCACCTCGCGTCTCATGTTACTTGCTTTTTCGCGACTATAAAGTTCTAATAGTGGAAAAGTATTTTGCGGAGTACTGTAATTTTCATTATTATTGCTAGATATTTGCAAGTAAGCCTTCATGCCTATATATTTTCTCAAATCGCAATCCAAGGTTCGTCATGTTCACAAAGGATAATGAAAAAAAAAACTATTAAAAATGCGCTGTGTAGAGTGGCTAAAGCATTTCGGAATAATATAAGATGACATGAAAGAAGGCAGGGAGCAGAGTAAGGACTCTACATTTGCAATTCGTACCGCTGAGGAATTAGAAACTATTTATCTGTTTGAAATATATTTATTCTGTATCCTTGTTCAAGAAAGAAACCTTTAATGTACGGTGGATATGACGGGTGCTAGCACTTGTTCTTTCAAGACTATTTCTATAATAATATTTGATCTCATCTATATTCTAAATCTAAGATCTCTACGTGCTCGGGTGTTCATGACCCCTTGGGTCCTCCCTTCTGTACATGACAGTTTGAGGGTCTAATTGCAATTTCTGAAACATAAAAATCACCACCAGAGACATCATTGGATGGTTGTTGGCACCGGAAACAAAAAAAGGCCACTCGGCGAAACCCGGTATAGTCCGTATAGGAATTAGTCTCCAAGCACATACACACAGACGTACGTACCGCATGTAATTATTTTATTCCAAGATGGCGATTGTTGGCTAATTAGTTAAATGGCGGGCTAATTGAGCGGCAATTGTTTTATCGATGTGTGATCGGTAGTTGTCGCAGTGCCGAACCACCCACAACAAGCATGTAGCCACAGCCTACTCCGCGTTTCCGTTTTTGATATAAACTAACATGCTGTCGACATTTCTGGGTCACTGATACCTTATGCAAGGACTGGTATCGTTGAGACAATGCTGTGTCCACTGGTACTGGGGTACGGTTTCTCTTTGTGTGCGGCTAAAATATGGGTTTGTATGATCCTGTACGACATTCTAGAATATAGCTGAATACGTTTTTTTGTTGTTTTGTAAATGACTTACACATACGTCTTTAGGAACATGTTATAACTTCACTGTTTAATCCACTTCGTATATTTCAGTGTTGTTGTTTCTTGATAGTTAAGAAATATGGAACACAATTGCTGTTTCCAAAAATTACCTATTCTGTTGAGATTCTCGAACAATGTGCCATGAGGAGGATTTTTCCAGTTCTATTAACTTTAGGTAGTTTAAAAAAATCGGATTAACAAGCTGTCTTTAACCTTATAATAGCCGCAGTTCCCCGATACTTAGATTTCTCCCTATAGGGCTGCTCCGGTATAAAATGTACAATTACTGACAAGTTATCATGTTATACGAGTATGTACTTATTCAACGTAGTTTTAATTCATTATAAACGTTCATTCTTCATTTCTAGACGGGGAATGGCAGCCTCCGATGGATTTTCTCGGGTTTAACGCTATTCATTTTTAATGTTGCCTTTAGTTAGTTCTTTCTTTTTGGCGGAAATGTCTGAACATTATTCAATCCTCTACATCAAACTTTTCATTTTTGTTTTATACTTCTCGTAAGAATTAGCAGCTGAACGACCAGAAAGCGTATACCTATTCGCTCAAAAACAAACATGAGCTTCTATGCGTTTGACGGTTCCTGAATTTAACGTCACGCGATGGTATTTGTTCTGACGTACATGAGATTTAAAAATTCAATAGATGGAGAAATTTTAGTTGTGTTGAGCCTAAGATTGCACTATTTAATTTTGTGCAGACTACAAACGGTCTTGTGTGCTTGCGAACATGACCGGTTGTGTAGTCTACCTAATCATGCAACAGAGTGTTGCTAGTGATTCTTCCTGACTACAACCTTGCTGTATCCCTCAGATAAGGGACGTCTGAGCTTCTGTGAAAACATACACTTTCATTGACGTTAGTGATTCTACGCAAGGCTTCTATAGAATCTACAGAAATCAATTTGATATAACCAGAAGAATCTGATGTAACGTCTGAAACTTATGCTGTGATTTTCATGTTGATAATCCCCCATGTTTGTTTGGTCAAATCAAACCACATATGTTTAAAGTTCTTCTTTATTGTACGACGTTTCAGTTCCAACAGTAACTTTCTTTAGACGGCCATACAATAAAGAGGAATTTCAAGCATATGCGGTTTGATTCGGCCAGACAAAGATGGGTAACTATGCAGAATAATGTTTCCGAAACTTATCTAAAGCGCAACACCTGTTTTTGTTAAGAACATTGTTCACTACCCCGTATTTAACCCATTCAAACGACAATAGCGACAAAAATAGTGTGCATAATTCATAAGTGTTTTTCAAATATTATATTATTTAACTATTTAAATTCAAACATTGAAAACGTTCAACAACTGTTTTAATAATTCCGATCTGTTTCACTAGGCTTATTAATATACACTTTTATGTTTCGTTTGATAATTAGTCAGTTTTTATTTACGGCGTCATTAAAATAGAAATACATGATTTAACAGAGTGGTGTTTTGTCTTATTTCGGAAATTTCCGGCGACCCCCTAGTACCTCACGCCCACACATTAGGTAACATTGTTTTAGAAGAATGTACTCTGAAAACTGAATGGTAGGATTAAACATCAGCAATTTGAATTCACTATCCGCCGTTTCTGTTGAAATACTCACGCAGTCCAGTTATCTAAGAGACGGTGTGATATTTAAATAAATCAGTATAGTTAAGTGCAGCGGACACAACAAAAACAACTGCCGCATTGCCTATAATAATTAAATAGATAAACTAATCAATTAGGAGCAATTTAAATTCAAGCTATCGCGTCTCACTATGTGTTCTGCGAAACTAGATTTTCCACTAAGTCTGTTGAATTTATGTATTCTTTCCTTTTTCCTTATACCGGCACCGCGATCAGTGTCGGATTCAAAACGAGATCTTCCTACATTCTTTGATTTGGTCCTACATTATGAATGAATTTTAGTGCACCACTAGGTCCATGAGATTTGTTTCACATGTGGATCTGATCCATGAATCGAGATGCAGTAATGGAGGAGTGTACGTACTCAAAATCCGATAACTTTACTACTGTTTTTAACAAAAAATATCGGTCACTTTACATACAGTTAAAGAAGATCGAAGTTTCTTTGATGCGCCTCTGGCAAAAGATACTTTGAATATTTTATTTGGCGTTTAAATGTCAAGATAAAGTTGATCATTAGCATTATCTTGGAGGCATTATAATAATCAATACAGATGTTGTGCTCGGTATATTTTTCTAATTAACAGTAGCGGCGAGATAAACGTTTAATTAGTGAATATCGGATACCAGCTTTATGACGGCGTTTAAGGTGGAATGTGTTGCTCGATGATATTGTAGTCTATTTCAATATGATTTACATAAAATATCGTCCGATAATTCCTACCAATGACTTCCTTAGAATGGGAAATAGTGCTTCATATCCGTGAGAGTTTAAAATAAACGCATAGAGATTTGGGTAGGTAGACAGTGAAGGTTGTGAAGAGCGGATTGCTTATTCTCACTACATTGTTTCTACTAGACCAGTGGAACGACGTGTTTGCGGTAATGGTAGTAGTGCCAAAGCAATGAGAAAATTTGAGACAACCCTTTGCACGGCAAAGTAGTCTCCGGTAGAATAGCTATTCGTATATTGTGAAAGGTCATTAGGAAACATCCACGTGAGGCGTTCTGGTTTTTTCATCCCCCTACTCCCCTGATGAGATGACGTGAGATTCGATTTGATAAGCTCCCAACCATCTACTTCCCTGATAAGATGACGTGAGATTTGATTTGGTAACCCCCCACCTTTACTAGTCTCAGGTGGAATTTTTCATTAACTCTATTTTCAGTGCAAATGCGTTGGATTTGTTTCAAAAAAGATAATTTCCTACATTGTTTTTATTTGAAACTTGTTGATACTAGACTTATGGAGTAACATGTATCTCAATTTAACTAAATTTCTTCCACCTTCACTTGAGAGGAAATCGACTGTGCAATCCTCCATAGCGACCAGCTAGTACACAAGTTGACATTGTATCCATTTTTTGGTGGACTGACCGGTAGGGGCATTATGTATAAGATCGATATAATTTCATTAAAAATTGGTTAAATATCAACTTGTTAGTTAGGTGTCCTTGCTGTGAACGCCACCAATTATTTGCTTTATAATCAAATCCAAGCGAATAAAAAAAATGTCTGTGTTATTTACCGCGGTCATAATGTGGTTTAAGTTGACATACGAGTTGATGACGTCACTTACTCGAATCGCTTGAACGCGTTGGTTTTCAACGCGGTTTTGTTGCAAGTTATTTTTTTAGAAAAGTGCGTATATAATTTCTGATATTATTTTTATTATTACCTAATAATCGATTCTTTTTGTCTGCAACAGTGATATAGAAAGTTTAAAAAAGAGAACTTCCATAATATTATTACGAGAATTTTCTTTCAGAAGATATTGTTCAGGTGTTAAGTCTCTCTTATTTTTAAGCAAGTTTTTTTGTGAAAATAAAAGATATGACGCCCAAAACTTTAATGGTGGAATCATGGCTTTGTAGCTATGATAACTTTTAATTCTTTAAACTTTTCCGCATGTCAAAGGAAACATTTATTGATTTAGCTGGAAGAAGCGATGAAAAAGATATTAGCAAAACTGTATACAGGTGGACACTAATCTTGTGGTATGTGGCTACAGAGGATACTTTTTTAAGTATAGAAACTATAGTTAAAGTGTTCCCAACAACAGCAATCAGTATAGCTAATAAGGAGCTTTACTTTATGCTAAAACTGAAGTCAGCTTGTATCAAGTATCCCCAAAACGAAGCTGAAGTACAACAAAAATATCCAATACCGCCAAAATTCTATTTCAAATAATAACCAGAAATATTAAACTACTCCGAAGTTCTGTAAATACCACAGTTTCACGGTAATAACTATGACATATAACAGCTGATTGATGACGTCACGGACCTTATAACCCAACTGATAACCACACTCGTTTGAACGGATCGGTAAATACCAATCCAAAATGGTAAATACCATTGTCATTTGGTTATTCGCTTGAATTTGATTTATATTTTAGAAAACATGAACAATTAAATGTCAACAGGATTGACAGAGATTGAACATAGGTTCATGCAAGAAAGCAAAAATTTATGAAGAATCCTAAGACATTAATAGCAGGAGAGATTCTTGCGTATCTATGGTATTTAATGAATTATTGCAGCCTAAGTATGTGAAGTCCTCCTACATAAATACATTCCAGTATCCCATGAGTCAATGTGATGGATCGTCCTCATTTGACACACTTGTGATGGTAAAATCTAAGGGAGATAGGCATTAAAGACATACAAGGTTGCGAATTCCTCTCACTTCAACATGCTGGTAATTGAATTTCCTTTATATCTGTACTCATATACTATCTTTGATCTTGATCAGATCTGGAAAGGCACCTCGACACTGACAAAGTATCGCCTATTAACATTTAATCACATCCAAACGCCTATTTATTAATATGTCCGACTCTTCCGTATAACAAACACTTGAAATATATACGTAGACATATATAAAAGTATCTTAATTAATTGGCCTTAATTGAGATCCAATTTGCAGTTATTAGGCGTCTTTTCATTAGTTTTTAGTGATAAATCAAAGGGAATATAATAAAATCAGATATACATATAGGGTAAGCCGAAGCAACGAGATACATTCAATCGCACAAACTATAACAGACAAGGTTAAGCATCGCTTTAAAATGAAGTAATATCAAAATATCTTTCGAGGTCTTGTAGAGCATGGCTTGGAGGTTAATTTAAATAGTTGTCCACTACAACAATTATAACTTTTAGCCGAGATTTTAAGCATTGCATTTCCAGCACTTTTCAGACAAGTTAGTGGAAGTCCCGGCAATAAACCCGTAATTTATAAGAATGTTTCAACAAATTCGATTTGGGTTATCGTGGCGCAGATATTCAATGCTTAAAAATTCGGTTAAAAATTATAATATTGAGATCGGCAAGTACATATATAAATTAAAGTTATAGCCTTGCTCTACAAGACCTTGAAGATCATTTTGAGATTAGTTTGTTTTAAAGCGATTCCAACCTTGTTTTTCAGGCCAAATTTGGCGAGCTTGTGATTTTCGCAGACTGTACATGGCTTTTTTGGAGTCCTTCTACACTTCAAACCAAATCAGCACAGACATCCTGTTTATTTTAAGGACAGGACGGTGTTAGCATCTTGAAAACGGTTGATGTTACACGGTGTTACAAGGGAAACATTGCTATAAATACGTTTCAGGAAAGTTTTTTTTAAGTAGTTTAAATATTCAAATTGGTTTACAACTCTGATTTCTACAGTTAAAAAACCCTTTTCTATTGATTGCCTAGGTCTTTGCGCAGTTTCAGTCCATCGTTTTCTGGAAATCATCACCACTTTATTCTTTTTTAATATTTTTTGGTTTGATTCCGATTTTGGTGATATAGACCATGTAACTGTGTGAGTATATTTTGACTTATTTCAGCTATATTTTCAAGTAATTTATATCAACAACAGCAACAAATGCTGTAAAAACATTTAATAAAACTAATCATAAACAAGATCAGTACAGTCTAATAATTACACCGATTTCCAATACATGAAAGAAATCACTAATTTCATGAGTGTAAGTCAGTAGCATAGTGGGCTTTGGAGAATATGGATATCTCTATTTAGAACACTTTAACTTATTCGCAAAATGCAGGATTACTTAGATTTATGGTCTTTTGATTTATCTATAAGTGTATGGCAATTATTGTCTCTGAGAAGAAGTTCAACATGTCAAAGTGTCACATTCTATGTTCAAGAGCCAATTCCAACGTCAACAGTCTTTGTTGATGAACACGCGCAGTTATCATCTGAAATAGACTACACAATGAAGATACCCAAAATAATGGGCAGCGTAACAGATAATTATAAAAAATAATTTAGAAGCGACAAAATTACTTATGCATCTTTTTAGAAAAAAACAATTGCTAATACTCGAAGTAAAAGCAAATGCTAAATGATTATGAATGGAACATAGAACATCGAAGCAAAAGCGTCCATTCCCGGGTTTATGAAGCAATTACTTGCTCAACGTGCCTAAGCCTGAAAAACAGTAGCTTTCTGCACCCAACCTCCAAGGAAACGGCGTTGTCGGCATTAAACAGCTGTTTGGTTTGTAATACGACAATTACTTTCATTTTATATGAAAATAACTGCTGCTCTATTCTCATTATCTCCTTTATTTGTTTAAATGCATTTCTCCAACTCGGAATATGTAATACTCGTACAATGAATTCGAATAGATTAGAAGGAGCCATTTACATTGTAATGCCTGTTGCCCGAATTGTGTAGTTTTAGTAGTACTTTTGGCTAATTTGCCTAACACTGTCCACCCAAGTAACATATCAATACATCGACGTACGTTTCTCTGGAGATGAGATTCAAGTTGCTATTGAACTGGCTGTACTCACGTACAGCAAGGCGGAAATACCATCTGTGTTATGATGTGAATCGCTCAGTTATTGTCAGTAAACAGAGATAAATTAAATGTGGCAAAGTAACGAAAGTAAATATCTGTCAACGGTATAGCATATGAACAACTGTCTTGATTCGCGATTTTAGAAGGTAAACAATATGAAACATCCTCTTCGTCAAACAGTAACAAAGGTAGAATACCTGATATTGGAATTAGTGGGACACCTTGCAAAAGATCTACTCGGTCTTTGTAAATCGTTATGGTGATCCAAGAAGATTCTAGGCTAAAAATAAATATCTATTTGAGCAGCATATCGTAATTTCTACTATTATGTCATTGTAACTATATCCAATAAAATTATTATTTTAATTAATTCGATAACCATAGCTTATTTTTTGACGTACTGAGCTTCCCCGACTCAATGTCGTGGCACTAAAATGATATTGTAAAATTACTACTTATAACTCGAAAGTACCGTCCCAATGAATCTGGAGATTCAAAACTAAAGAAGATAAAGTTAAATTCTAGTTTAATTAGATTTAAGTGTCGGTTGACCCTTTTCATATCCATCAAAAAATTTGGTGTGCCTCCAATATCTTGCATTTTTCAATGTTATTGTACACATACAGTTCTGTTGACAAACATTAGATTGCTCAATCAAACAAGAAGTGGGCTGAACTATACTTTAGCGCATATCGCAAATATTTCATTTCTTATTTTAAAATGAAAGATTAGGATGTAACTTGCACGAAAATATCATTTCTTCTTTAAGAAACTCTCTGTTTGCTATAATATAGAACTTCAAAGTTGCATTTTGGGTGCTAATACTGTGGTATGAAATACTGCTTTATAAGCTGTTTTCTTCTTGTTTATACAAAAGATTGTTCGAAATTATATGAATATAACATACACTGTAAGTTACTGTGATATTGTTCATCTCAATAATGCAATTTTGCATTATTTTAATGATGAAAATAGTTCATTGTAAAGTAGTCATTTCTTTTATTTCAGATAATTATTCCCATCACTACACCACCGTCACTGTCATATTCTCTCCATCTAGTTGCGATGTTGCCAAATCATACCTTAATTTGGTTTGTCAAATTCTTACTTATATACTAGTACAAAAATGTGCAAACGGCACCGGATTGTCATGAAAATGCGATTTGGAGGTGTGGCCGGCAGGTTTTACCGTACTAAATCCACCTTGTGCCCTACGATAGCGTTAGCTAAAGAGACTTTTCTGAAGAATGCCTTATGCTCTTCACAAAAGTACTTCGGTTATTGTTTTTCCTATATTATAGTTATAAGCTATTTACTTTTTGTATGTATGTACTTGAAGAATTATTTAATGTGAAGCTGATGTTACAAAATGTACCTAATTAAATGTGATATATATGAGAAATAACTGAAACAGTAGCTGTTGCAAATCACTAAATAATGAAAACATAACAAAGAACATTGCAAGTTTTTTGTTTGGTGGACCTGGCGAGGTTGTCCTAATTGACGAATCGACGTTGGCTATTTTTATATGCAATGACCGCTTGTGCCTTTTGTATGTTTTATGTCAAGCGAGCCGCTGTTGCATTTTCCACTTTTTAGACGCATACTGTTCAAAATTTCATCTAGTTTTCGGTAAATATTGGGACAACTTTTCATAAAACATGCCATTTATAATAAACTTTTAAATAACTCATTTCTAATTACGTATTTCTCCCAAAAAAGGTACAACTTGGCAACAATGGACATCATTTATCTTATCTGTCAAGAAATGAGCCTTATAAAATGGCCATTGAGAATTGTTTATACTTTCAAATATTTCTTATAAACGCAAAAACTTTAATCTCGTTGAAAATACACGAAAAAAATGGTTGAGGAATTTCAAGAAGACATTGATAAATCACAAAACAACACCTCTACATAGTTTACCAAGTAAATACCACGATTTACGTATGTATTTTGATCTGTTATTTAAGCTAATCAGCTAATGTGTAATAACACGTCTGGTTTTGAACCTTTTTTGCAAAAAACAACGATTTTTTACAGTTTCACATCTATTTTTCTTAGTGTATGTTATATTCTTATAACTTAGAGCATTCTTTTGTACAAAAAGCAAAAAAAAGACAGCATATATAAAACAGCATTCTATTCTAGAGTATTATCACCAAAAATGCAACTTCGAAGTTCTATAAAAAAGCAAGCAGAGGGTTCCTTAAAGAAAAAATGATATTTTCGTAAAAGTTACATACTAATCTTTCATTTTAAAGTAAGAAATGAAGTATTTGCAATATGCGCTAAAGTATAGTCTCACCAAGAAGTGAAATGAACTAAATCAAAATTACCTCACAACTGTCCAGGTAAAAGCGCAATGACGGGGTACATTCAGTCAAATTGCTTTTTGCAGTCCACATCATTTTCGGTAATTGTCTGCAATACTAGGACTGTATGGAACCCGTTTTTATAGTTTTTTCGCAGAAAAATGCGAATTTAATGTGTAATGTCAACAACTGTCAAACTGGCGGCTTAAGCCTGATCGACTTGTAGTATCAACTTGCGCCCTGACTACTAACTAAGTACATCATTTCTGTCTAGCCCGAATTCGCTATACTATATTATATGTAATACGACTTTATTTTGTACACTTGTTTCACCGAGTCTTTAAGCTGCTCCCGCTTTCATATAGTTGTTTTTGCTTACACGGTTAGAAGTATTATTTTCGGGCTTCAGTTAACTCTCGACCTTATAATAAAAATAGCAGAGCCCCCACTTGAAAATTTTTTATGACCATTTCGGGGAAATGGAACCGTATCGCACCGAAAGTACCGAATGTCATCTCGCTAGGGTGAAGAAGCGGCAGCTTTTTCTTTAGATGTGATGAAATAATGTCTGAAATAACAAGCTCCTGCGGCAGTCAACTATCTCTTGTTATATCATACAACTAGGATTTTCTGAGTGTATCGAGACTAACGTCGGCTTATTCCTTAAAGTAATTAGGGATGGAAATAACTAATAGACTCTTAAATACAACATTTTATGATCAATAAGAATGAGCGTTTCAGAATGATGTATGTAATTAGCTGTAGATGATCATATAAAACAAATGTTATAGCTGCAAAATGACCCGTGCAGAGAACTATAATGAAATAGCTACACATTTTTACAGCACACCTTCTAATGAATCATCAAGCACATATTGCATTTAATTTCATTGTGAATACATTTATGTAGGTTAAACAGGATAAATTCCTGAAATATATATAGTAATTGAAAACGCAACATAAGAAGTACTGGAGATACACTTTAAATACTTTTCGTTTTATGTTCTGATTAGACTGTTACACATTGAGACACATGCTAACACAGGACATGGAGCACAACGTAGTTAAAGGAGACACGTGGTTATTTCTCGATCGAGCGAATTTTTTAACATTTATGTACGCCTCCAAATAAACTGCACATAGTTGCAACAGTTGGAGGTTCTATTCTAAATATGGCACATCCAGTTTAAAAAAAATGGAGCTCAGAAGGTTGACTCTATACTTCCTGCTGATTCATTCACTTGTGTACGATATCGTAAGCCTATATATCCCAAAACATATAAATAAAATAATAGGAATGTCTTTCTTTCAATGACAGATGTATTATGTCTAATGGTATGTAGTGTTAGTATTAAAACTTTCTTAAAAGTGGAACGTTTCTCACTGATACCAAAGACGCAATATTCATAGCAATCCACCCCTAGGACCCCCAATCTCCAAATTTCAGCTCCTCCAAAACAATCTGAAAATAAGGACGGGTCTCTGAAATATTGAACAAGGAAGTATTAGCGATTGCAGCAGCAAGCAAAACCTGATTATGATTAGGCAGGGGCAGTGGCGTAGAGGTAGACCTAATAGATCTCGTAATCAGTCGCGTTCGCTGTGCGAATTCCGTTCCAAGAGAATTTTTCTCTTGGTTATGGATGTTGTGATTGTCCGTAGGTGGTAGACGATTTGACTGTTGCCTGAAGCCTCAACTGGAAGATTTCCCAAAAACGTGATATATCCATAAAAATCATACAATATCCGCTATTTGTCTATCAAATCATTGCACTGTTTGTTCAATTTCGTCATGATGGTTAACATCATTCCAAAATAGATATGCCTATTTGTCTCATCGTCGCCTCGTACATAAATTATATAGACTAGGATTTTAAAAAGGTATACTTACTATACTAAAACAAGCAAGGTATTGAAGTTACCTGAAACAAAAGAGATAGCTGTTAGTAGTATATTAAAACCACCAAAATATTATATCAACAATGGCAGAGAAATAACAACAGAGTATTCCAACATTTTTGTTTAAATTTTTATTTTTTGATAAAACACATGACAGACACCCTGTGACTTTTCTGCAAATAGTGCACATTAGCTTTGAAAATGAAAATACGTACTGTACGTTAAATTTTGATATCAATCTAGATTTGAACCCGGTTTTGTACCTCAAAATTTAGTTTACATCTCCAGTTTTTATTTAGGAAGGTTGTAGTAGCAGCTGAAACGATAGTAATGACGTGCATTCATCATGCGTAGTTTTGGTTATTAGATGGAGTTATCATTATGAATGATTTTAATGATGCCACAAATAAGTGTGTCAAAAATTTTAGTAATTAGTTGTCTTATTCTTAAATTCTAGTACAACATTTTGCCGATAGAAGTAGATCAGTTTCTATAGGATTTGCAC